TTCGATGGCAACTTAACAACAATTGTTTGCCTGAGAATTGAGCCATGCATGGGTGGCAGTTCAGTTCTAGGCCTGAAGATTAAGTAAGAGCCATAATATGGGGAAGGAGCCCTGGGAATGTAGTGGGTTACATGCTGGGCTGCTAGCTGCGCCACAAGCTCAGCAGTTGAATTCAACAGCCATTCTGTGAGAGAAAGATGAGACTTTTTATTCCCATATTTATTGTTGTTAAGTACTGTGGAGTCGGTTCTGGGTTCTGACTCAGTGACCCTGTATGGGGTTTCTGAGGCTGCAAATCTTTACGGGAGCATAATGCCTCATCTTTCTCCCACGGAACAGCTAGTAGTTTCGAACTGCTGACCTTGAGGTTAGCAGCCTGATTCATAACCACTATGCTACCAGAACTCCTTATTCACATATTTACAGCCTTGGAAACCCTATACAGAGTTGCTATCAGTCTGAACTGACTCGATGGCACACCACTACCATAGAATGGGGCGGGCGTCGGGGTGAGGGGTTGTTTCTACCAGTCAGTTTCTACCAGTAACCCCTGGTGTGTTTTTTTTTTTTTTTTTTAAGATTTTGAATTTTATTCCGCATTTTTATCCCACTCTATCCAAGACCCTCTATTATGATCCCTGTCAGAGCAACCAGCAGTGGTAGCCAGGAACCACCTAGTTCTTTTGGTCTCAGGATCCTGGAGGCTAAGGTTTGTATGGTTCATTAGTCCTTTGGATTAATTGTTCCTGGTGTGCTTGATTTTCTTCCCTCTTCTTTGCTCTGGACTTGAAGAGATCAATGGATGCACTTTAGATGGCCACTCAAAAGCTTTTAAGACCTGTATTAGAGCTTGATTTGCAGCACTTGGTTTGTAGAAGATTGTAGGTTGCAATGGGAGCTCTAATTCCATTTTTGAATTGTTTTGATAATTAATTGTGCACATTTTTTTTTTTACCATTAACCAGCAATATGAAAATCTTTGCCCTCAAGCAGAGTGTATTTCAAAGTACATTACAACTCCCCTGGTCAGCCCAGGGAGGAGGGCCAGTCTTGCCTTTAGGGAACTTGCTTGGGCATGCCCTTCATAATTTACAGATGTGCTGAAACCTGATGTTGAGGTACCAGGGCCAATGGTCAAGAGTCATCAAGTTGCCAGGTGGTTGAAGGATTCCAGAACGAATCCTGTAAATTTTCAAATCTGCAATTGTGTACATATTCCAATCATGGTCCTTACCTCCCTTACTTCTACAACCCCACTTGGGACAGTGATAAATCTGCTGCCAAACATGATTTTGTTAAGATTTCCTTTGTTTTCGACCATCTATAATTAGCCAAGTGGTTGTGAATTCTTTGGACACCATTGTGACCTCATGCTGATGGTTTCCCTCATCTGGATGATTTGTCTTTGTTCTATTGTGCATAAGGCCGCTATGGGTCAGTCCCGACTCCATGGCACCTAACAACCACAACAAAGGGGTCTCTAAGGAGCTTTGGTAGCGTAGTGGTTACGAATAGGGCTGTGAACCACAAGGTCAGTAGTTCAAAACTACCAGCTGTTCCGCGGGAGCAAGATGAGGCTTTCTGCTCCTATAAAGATTTACAGCTTTGGAAACCCTGTACAGGGTCACTATGAGTCAGAACTGGCTCCAAGGCACACAGCCACCACCACCAAAGGGGTCTCTATAAAATCCATTTGAACTTGGGGCCTTTTCCACCTAGAACAGACCCGGGTCTCTACTCACCAAAGTAGGATGAAGACCGTTTATTTCCTTTGTGCACTAAAATGTGCTAATTGACCGGAATATCCCCTTTGGACTATGGTCCTAAACCACCAGGCACAGTGACTTATTCCCTCAGTTGTTTTGGTGGTGACATAGTGGACTAAGTATTGGGCTGCTAACCTCAAGGTTGGTGGTTCAAATTCAGCAATCACCCAGTGAGAGAAAGAGGAGGCTGTCTGTTCCTGGAAAGATTTACAGTCTTGGAAATCCAAAGGACCAGTTTTACTCTGCTCTCTAGGGTTACTAGGATTCAGAAGCAACTTACAGGGTAGTGGGGTTAGTAGTGCATGTAAACCTTGGTAAAGTCAAAAGATGAACAAAAGTTTTAAGCTTTTATGAGGTCCTATTAACTTTTACTTTTGCGCATTTGCTATTATAGTAGATAATCAATTCATTGTTGAAAACTAGGCCTGACATCTTTGCCCCTGCTTTTTTCCCTAAGAATTTTATGGTTTTAGTTTGCATTTAGGTTTTTAATCCATTTTGAATTTGTTTTTGTGTATGGTGTCAGTTTGTGCATATGTATGGTTTTATATATGGTTTGTTTCATTTTTATGCATGTGGAAATCTAATTTCCCCAGCACCATTTATTGAAGAGACTCTTCTTTCTCGATTGAATGTAGAGATTTTTTTTTTTAAGGCAATCAGTTCTCTGATCCCTGAAATTGATCTGTTTGAAAATGTGCCTTGGGGTCAAGGTATAATATGATCTCCTTTTCCACCTCCCTTATCCTAATTGTCGCTTGCCTGTTTTACAAATGAAAGACATAACTCAAACCCAAACAGAATTTTACTAAGGTGCAATGCCCCTGGGTTACAAAAATCTCTGGGACACTGAAGAGAGGGACAATAGGAAATACTGCTGATTGGGAACGGGTAGCATCCTTTTACAAGTCAGTTACTAGCTTTCAGCAAATCTGAAAGAGTACCTAATCAGAGTTGTCAGCTGATAGATCATTAAAAGTGTTTTGTTGTTCTTTTTTTTTTGGTATAATTTCAAAGGAGTGCAGAGAATTGAGTGACACTGCCATACAAAACTCCATTCATTCGCATTTACTTATTTATGCGAACAGGTTTTCTCAATGCTTACATCCCCGGAATGGTAAACTTAGGACAGAATTGATGCTAAACTTTTTCTTATTCTAGTTAATACTCATCCACTTATAAATTAGTTGAAACAAAAGTCCATCCATCTCCATCTGTGTAAGATGCATTTTCAGTAAAATTTTACTTTTATGTTTAATATTTATAAAGATTTGATATATATTTGCTTTGATCATTGTAACACTTAGAATTTTGTGGCCACAGGAAACTGAAAACAAAACCTTAAAATTTCAATTTACATACAGTTTGTTAAAGGCAAGAGTGATAAAGTGATTAATAAAAGGTTTCAAGTATATGAGATTTTGTTGTTAAGTACCGTCCAGTCAGTCCTGACTCATAGGGTTCCAAGGAATGACTGGTGGGTTTGAATCGCCAACCTTGTGATTAGTAGTTCAGCGCTGATCTACAGTGCCACACCAGGTCTCCATATGAGGTATTGCTAGGATAACATTTTGGGATGGATGTGGAATGTAAACATAGGTTCTAAAAGATATAAAGGAAGGGTTGAAATTATCCCTGTGTAAAAAAGAAGATTTTAAAAGGTGGATATTGGTAGGTAACTAAAGTATTTAGAGTCCACTGACTACATTTCAAATAGTGTGAGTTATGAAATATAAGGCAGATGCTACTTTAAAAATGTTGTTGTTAGGTCCTGTAGAGTGTGTTTCCACACATAGTGACCCAGTATAGGGTTTCTGAGGAGCAGTTGGTGGGTTTGAAGTGCCGACCTTATGATTAGCAGCAGTCCAGCGCCTATCCTGAAGTCCTGGTGTGGCTCTGTGGGTTAATGAGCCAGACTGCAAAGCTGTTTGAACTGCTAGGTTGGCAGTTGAAGCTCACCAGCTGCTCCTCGGAAACCCTATACAGGGTCGCTATGGGTCGGAACCGACCCGACGGCACTTAACAACAAGTGCCTATCCTAAAATTGTTTCAGTATGTGGCGTTGTGGCTTAATCACTGGATTGCAAGGTCTGTTTGAACCACAAGGTTGGTAGTTCAAACTCACCAGGTGCTCCTGGGAAACCCTATACTGGGTCGCTATGAGTAGGAACCGACTTGACGGCACTTAACAAATGCACATATCATTGCTATAGCTTTGCAGAATTCTTTTAGACTCACAAAAGTTTGAAGACGTGGTACCTTAGTGATGACTGAAGCCACCAAAAATCCGTGTCCAGTTAAGTCGATTTTGCTGGTAGTGATAATGCAGGAAGGAGTAGAACCACCCCATTAGGATTTCCAAGGCTGTAACCTTTACAGAAGCTCTGGTAGAGTAGTGGTGGAGTCGGGCTGCGAACCTCAAGGTCAGTAGTTCGAAACTACCAGCGGTTCCGCGGGAGAAAGATGAGGCGTTCTGCTCCCGTAAAGATTTACAGCCTCGGAAACCCTGTGCAGGGTCACTGTGAGTCGGAGTTGACTCCACGGTACTTAACAACAACCTTTACAGAAGCAGACTGCCACATATTTTCTCCCATGGATTTAGACCTTTAGATAGCACTAGAGGTATTCAAATCCAGGTTGATTTCAAACCTATGTTGTGTATATAGATTTAGTACGTTGTATTATCTTATTATTTATTTTTATTCATTTTAGTTACCTCTTCTTATAGATTGTAAACTCTGAGAAGGCTAGGGACTTGTTTCATCCTTGTCTTAGCGCCGGTACACAGCCAACAATCACCAAACATCGTAGGAATGAATGACTTTATCGTGAGAACTCTGAGGGTGGTTAAAATCTCCTTCGAGTTCGGGAGTGGGGTGTGTGTGTGTGCGGGGGTGGGGGTTCATTCTGCGCGTCCGGAGGAAACTCCTTGGACTCACTCTGCTTGGTCCGGGAGGGGTGGGGGCGGGAGGCTGGACGCGGGATCGGCGGCCAGGGGAGGTCCCACCGCGTGCCGCTGCGCAGGCGCGCATCCGTCGCCGCGTGAATGTGCTCAGTCGCGCGCCTGTCCCCGCGCGGGCTCCGTAGCGCGTGTGCAGGCTGACGCAGCTCGCGGGCCCTCCTCCTGCTCTGCAGCGGCGTCGGCAGAGTTTTGGTCGTTTGGGAGGGGGGCGAGGGAGCGAGAGTCGAAAGAGGAGGCGACGGCGGGGAGGAGGTGGAGGAGTAGGCGCCGCCATGGCCGCCGCTATCACCGACATGGCCGACCTGGAGGAGCTCTCCCGCCTGAGCCCTCTGCCCTCCGGTAGCCCTGGCCAGGCGGCGCGGCGCCGGGCTGAGCCTCCTGAGGAGGAGGAGGAAGAGGAAGAAGAGGAGGCGGAGGCCGAGGCTGTGGCGGCGCTCCTGCTGAACGGCGGTGTTGGTGGGGGCGGTGGCGGCGGAGTGGGGGGCGGCGAGGCGGAGACGATGTCGGAACCTAGCCCCGAGAGCGCCAGCCAGGCCGGGGAAGACGAGGACGAGGAGGAAGACGAGGAGGAGGACGAGAGCAGCAGTAGTGGTGGTGGCGAGGAGGAGAGTAGCGCCGAGAGCTTGGTGGGCAGTAGCGGCGGGAGCAGCAGCGACGAGACGCGCTCGCTGAGCCCCGGCGCCGCCAGCAGCAGTAGCGGGGATGGGGACGGCAAGGAGGGCCTGGAGGAGCCCAAGGGACCGAGGGGCAGCCAGGGCGGCGGTGGGGGCGGCAGTAGCAGCAGTAGCGTCGTCTCTAGCGGAGGGGACGAAGGCTACGGGACCGGGGGAGGCGGAAGCAGTGCGACCTCCGGAGGCCGGCGAGGCAGCTTGGAGATGTCGTCGGATGGGGAGCCCCTGAGCCGCATGGACTCGGAGGACAGGTCAGTGCACTGAAGCGTTTCCCCTTCCCTTCCTCCTCGTGCGCTCACGGGCCCCTCGGAGGGGGTCACGGGGACTTTTGGGTAAGATCCTCGGGCTTCACGAGCCTCGGCTCCTCCTCCGAGCTCTCTACTAGGAAATCGCTCCCCGCCGCCGCGCCCCTCTCGCAGTGGATAGCGGCTTCCAACTCTCACATCGTTTCCCTTCACCCCAAACTCTCCTTTCCCCGCCCTCTTCCCCCGCGACTTTGCACTTCTTACTTACTCAGCGACTGCTCTAACTTCGGTACAGTCCCCAAAGCAGGTCCCGATCTCCTGGCGGAGCAGAAGGAGGCCTGGATGTGTAAACGCCCGTGGACAAGGTTAGCTTCATCCAACCGTGTTCCTGGACACTTGTCAGAAGTATTATTGACAAGTGTTTTTCAACATGGCTGGTCTCGCATGAATTGAACATACCTTTCTTGTCCAGGAAGGAGCCCCCATTACTTTCCAATACTTTTAAGTATATCTTTTTTAAGTATTTCTTTTAAGAAAGCTAGACTCTTCTTTCAGATTTGATCGGTGCTTTCCAAATTCCCGTCTTACAGTCACTAATGTGGCCGTGATTTTGAATCTTTACTGTTTTGTGACCAAAGCACTGTAGAAAAAAAATAATGAATTGATGTCTTTTAAGAAACTTGGCGAAATCAAAGACTTGTAAGAAAGTAGTCTTCAAGGTAATGCATATTAGTATGCTTTTTAAAAATCGTCAATAGTAATACTTTAAGATGAGAGTAATGATCGTATATGATATTATTTGAAGCGTTTATTAGCGAGGCTTGTGAAGGCATTGTGAAAACTTTTTAAAGCTTGTTGGTAAATAACGTGAAGAGATAAATATATGACCAGTGTTTTTTGGACATTTTAGAAAATTATTGTATGTGTTTCTGTTGTTAAGAGCATTAATTTTGATCCCTTGGGAAAACTTTGTAGTATATTTAATTGTTTTAATGTACCTTTAAAAAAAAAAGAGAATCCCAATTGCCTGTATTATGCAAATTCTAAAGTATATTAGTTTTTATTTAATTTATCTGCTAGAATATTTAACAGTCAAGATTGTGACTGAAAAGTTTTAGTATTCTTAAGTTGTACAGGAGTTACACCGAATTCCAATGGCTAATATGTAAAATAAATTAGCATATTATCTTTAATGTTACAAAGATTAAAAGGGCCTGAATATTTTGATAAATAAACTGTTAGGTTATCATTTACTTTAACACCTTGTTAACCAATTATGGATGGGATAAATAGGCTGTACAGACCTAAGAATTATTGTGCAAAACTACAAGCATGCATGCTGTTAAGTGCGAAGGGGTCCGTTCTGGCTCGTAGTGACGTATATAGGATTTCCAGAGCTTTAAATCTCATCTTTCTGAGCAGAAAGCCTCATCTTTATCCCGTGGAGTAGCTGATGGGCTCGAACTGCCGACCTTGTGGTTTTCACTTCAGTGCGTATTGTATGGAGCCACCTGTAAGCATGTTGTTGCTGTTATGTGCAGTTGAGTCGCTTCCGACTCATAGCGACCCTGTACCGGGTTTCTGAGGCTGTAAATCTTTATGGGAGCAGAAAGCCTCATCTTTCTTCCACGGAACAGCTGGTAGTTTCGCAGCCAGATTAGTAACCACTACGCTACCAGAGCTCCTTACTGCCTAGGCAGGAAGAAAAATATCCTCAAAAAAATTTAAAAACTTGATGGAGAACTGTACAATGTTCTGTATGATTTTGTTATTTCCCCTTTTCATTGATAGCACCAAAAAGTTGACAGTTTATATATTTAGTGTCTACCACAGTTCTTGTTTTTTTTACTGAATGCATTATACACTCACATTTGCTTGGCTTAAATGTTTAAATGGCTTACACGGCATGGTTTAAATGTCTCAATTATTTCATCCTCAAAACTATATGCAGTTTAAATATTCTTTTGACTTCCATTTAACTATGAAGAAGTTAAGTGCCTTATCAAATCAGTAAAATTTGGAAATGGTAGAGCCGGGATTGAACAAAGGTTCCCAAATCCCTTACCACTATACAAGCTTAAGATAAATTTACCTTAAGAAAAGGTATATGTCAGCATTTTTTCTCTTGTTTGTGTTGTGTTTTATCCATTCACTACATATTTCCAGGAGAAAGGAGTTTTGACTTCATTTGAATAAGTAGTTTTTGCATCATACTTTAGAGCAGGAGGGTTGGTGGTGATGGTGGTGGCTGTGTGCCGTGGAGTCAGTTCTGTCTCTAGCAACCCTGTTCAGGGTTTCCGAGGCTTCAGGAGTAGGGAACTTGTTTTCTGCCAAAATTTATAGCATTCGTGGGCCATCCAAATTATCAACCTAAAAACTAGCTGACGCTGTATTTGGTCAAACATTTAATTAACTCACCCCTAAATTAAGCTGGACTTATGGTGTAGACTTGTGGATCTGCACTGGACTGTGAACCATAAGGTTGGCAGTTCAAACCCACTGGCTGCTCCTTGGAAATCCTATGCAGGGGAGTTAAGAGTCAGAACCAACTCAACGGCACTTAACACAACATGATGGCTGAAACTGTTCGCCTTGACAGGGCCAGATCAAATGATTTTGTAGGTCCTGTGTGGCTCACAGGCTGGATGTTCCTCACCCCTGCTTTAGAGTAAGGAGTAAAATTTGGTGTCAGGTTTGTATAAGGTTAAAATTTACATAACTGAATATCTTAAAGAATGCTTAAACATTAGAGACTGTAAAATATTATAATTTTTACATACCACTTTATAATAGATTAATCACTTGTATGAAAAACCATTGCATATCTAATGAAACTGGTCCATAGTTGTGATAATCTTAATTATGAAATGCCCTATATTGCCTTTGAAGGTTTTTTTCCCTTTGCCTTCAGTTATTTAAAATTTATAAATTTGAAAAGGATTCATAATTCTAACAAATTTCCTATAAGTTTATCTATCTATAGAGATTTTACAGATGGATTTCATGGTTGTTGTTAAGTGCCTTTGAGTGGGTTCTAACTCATAGTGCCCCCCACCCCAATAGGGTTTTGGAAGAGTGGCTGTTGAGTGTGAACCACCGACCTTGTGGTTAAAACTGACCTTGAGGTCAAGTTCTTATTTTATGGTGCCACACCAGATATATTGTTGTTGTTGTTGTTGTTGTTATGTGCCGTGGAGTCGGAACCGACTCATAGCGACCCTGTACAGGGTTTCCGAGGGTGTAAATCTTTACGGGAGTAGAAAGCCTCATCTTTCTCTCGCGGAGCAGCTGGTAGTTTCGAACTGCTGACCTTGCGGTTACAGCCCAAGTCGTAACCACTACGCTACCAGAGCTCCTAGATATATTGTTAGGAAGTCTTTATAACCAATGGGAAGGTATTGTGGTTTTACAGTGCTTTTAAAAAATATTTAGGCATTATTGTTAACAATGTCAGGGCTCCTAATGGTACACTGGTTAAAGTGCTCAGCTTGTAAACCCACCAGCCACTCTGAAACCCACCAGATCCTCTGAAAAAAATGTGGCAATCTACTTCTTCAGCTTTACAACCTTTCGTGAAGTTTTCCTGTGTCCTATAGGTTCATTATGAGTTGATATCCAACTTGAAGGCATTGGGTTTGGCTTGGTATTACAATGTCAGTCAGAACGTTGCATTTCTATTAGAGTATCTATTTAGTTTTTTATTACATTGGAATTAGATCATAGTTTTGCGTGTATTTGATCTTATAAATATTTAAAAATTATCTCTTAAAAAAGAATTATAAAGACTTTAAAGATGATCTAAAAAGATAATTTTATTTTGGGCCTTTTACAAGCATATATTGGAATTATTTGTGTTGATAAATGAGTAATTTATCAAAGTATTGTGTGACTTCGTTCAAAAATATTATTTTCAGTATGAGAAAGTTATTTTAAACCGTTTTAAGTCTCTAAGTGTGTTTACTTTTAGAAATTTAGAAAGTCTTAGAATTGATGAAGGTAATAGAAATTTCTCTGGGGGGAACTAACTGAGACAATGAAAAACTTTTGGGTAGGTTAATTTTAAACTCAAGCTTAATTTTTAAAACTTACTATTCTTTTTTTTTTTTTTTGGTGTCCTTATATGATGCTATAGGATAAGCACTAGACTGTTAACTGAAAGGTCTGCAGTTCAAACCCACCAGTCACTCCTTGGAAACCTGCATGGGGTTATTATGAGTCAGAACCAACTTGACGGTACTTAACAACAACCTTTTTCCTTTAAGGAGTCCTGGTGATGAAGTGGGTTACATGTTGGGCTGTTAACTGCAAGGTCAGCAGTTTGAATCCACCAGCCTTAGAAACCTTATATAGGGTCGCTATGAATGGTAACTGACTCCGCAGAATACTGCCACCAGTACCACCCAACTTTTACATTTAAGTTAATTTTAGAGGCTGAGTTAGCATGTAAGTAGTATTAGAATTTAAAATGCCTGTAACTTTTTTTAGTTTACAAATTAGTTCTAGCTTTTAGATCATATTTTTTATAGAAATACCTTAACCTGCTTATGCATTGTTTTTAAGTGCTGTCCAGTTGGTGGTTCTGACTCATAGTGACCCTGTATAGGGAGTCTGAAGATGACTGATGGATTTGAACCACTGACCTTGTGGTTAACAGTCCAGTCCTTATGTGCAGTGAGTTAAAAATAACAGCCTCTATTATTTTTGGTTTTGTCTCTTTTTATATGGAGTCCTTGGGTGGCAATATTGGTTAACTAAAAGGTTGGCATCTCAGAAGATAGTCCTGGTGATCTGCTTCTGGAAGGTCACAGCCTTGAAAACCTTATGGAGCAGTTCTACTCTGCACACATGGGCTGGAGTTGGAATTGACCTGATGTCAGCTAACAACACAATGTTTGTATTTAATGTGTTCACCTACTAGATTGTGTGCCGTAATTTATTTTTGTAAAAGCCAAGATCACTTCAACCACTTTGCACAGCCTTTCTAGATAAATACAGATGTCCATTGG